TGAATTTCCCGGCCTTTGCACCGCCACAGTGGTAATTTGGGATTTTGGGGGGTATTTTGGGTGGCATTTTGGGGGCCAGGGGTGGTGCTGGGTGTCCCCTACGATGGAGGATGGGTGGAAAGTTTTGGGGAGGGGAGCACCCCAATCTCTCCTGGGCTCTGCGGTGGCTTTGGGACCTGTCACCCACGGCCATTGCAGGGATGGGGTCTCTGTGCCCCCTGTGGTCTGTAGGGGTGGGTATGGGATCTCTCTGCCCCCTATGGTCTATAAGGGGTGGAGATGGGGTCTCTGTGCCCCCTGTGGTCTATAGGAATGGGGATGGGGTCTCTGTGCCGTCTATGGCCTGTAGGGTTGGGGATGGGGTCTCTGTGCCCTCTATGGCCTATAGGGTCAGGATGGGGGTCTCTGTGCCCCCTATGGTCTATAGGGTCAGGATGGGGTCTCTGTGCCCCCTATGGTCTATAGGGTCAGGATGGGGTCTCTGTGCCCCTATGGTCTACAGGGTTGAGGGTGGGGGTTTCTGTGCCCCCTATGGTCTATAGGGGCAGGGATGGGGTCTCTGCCCACTGTGGTCTGTAGGGTTGGGGATGGGGTCTCTGTGCTCCCTATGGTCTGTAGGGTCAGGATGGGGGTCTCTGTGCCCCGTATGGTCTATAGGCATGGGTATGAGGTCTCTGTGCCCTTTATGGTCTATAGGGGCAGGCATGGGGTCTCTGTGTCCCTTATGGTCTATAGGCTCATGATGGGGTCTCTGTGCCTCTTATCGTCTGTAGGGTCAAGATGGGGTCTCTGTGTCCCCTATGATCTGTAGGGCTGGGGATGGGGTCTCTTCTAACCCCCTCCCCCCAATTTGCTCTTTTGCAGGGTGTTTAAGAAAGCCAGTCCCAATGGGAAGGTAAGATGGGGAGGGGGAAGCGGGAGGACGTGGCCCTTTCTGGGGTGCCCCCCCAAAATTCTGTGAACACAGATCGGGGAGGGGGAGCACCCATGGGTGCTGCTGTGGGCCCCCATGACCCCCCCGTCCTGCTCACAGCTCACCGTCTACCTGGGCAAGAGGGACTTCGTGGACCACATCGACGTGGTGGACCCCGTGGGTATGTGGGGCTGGGGGGAAGGGGGGGCTCTGATCTGGGGAGGGGACACGTGTGTGGGGGGCAGGGGGCTGGGTTTGCCTGAGTGAGGAGGGAGGAATGGGGTTTTGGGGAGCAGGGACACCCTGGGCGATGCCCCCCCCCCCATCCCTCCCAGTGGCTCCCATCTCCA